TGGAAGAAAGATCATTGTTACTGCTAACCATCTACTTGTGGTGGGAGGAAGTTTGATAGCATTGCACAGACAAAAAATGTCATATCAATTATACCATTCCTGCACAAAGTTATGGGGACAAAGTCTAAAATTTGATAGTTTACTTATTCTTTCTATGGCTCTTCCAACAAGGATTCTTAGAAATGCAATCCTTCTTGTTTCCAGTAATTCACTTTCATTACATTGCCCAGATTCATTCATGAATGGAGGAACATTTACTTTAACCCTTTAAATGCAAGTATTTCTTGAATATTAAAACCTCTATCAGCCATGATAACATCACCATACTGTAGTTTCTCTATAAGGCCTGACTTTTGGGTTAGTTCCTTGTCAGAAATGCTGCCACCATACAGGGTTGAAACAAATGAAATCCCCCCTTTTGGTACAATACCAACCAAAGCTTTCAGGGTGTTGCGATTTTTGTATGAATATTGCTGCGGAAAAGCCCTTGTCAGGGAGCGCAATAAATAAATATGTATGTATGTACGTATGTATGTATGAAGAAAATGTTACTTGTTGAGCCTCTGGGTTGTTTGGCTCTTCAACGTATATCTCTGTAGTATCCATTATTAGAGTAGTTGTTGAGTACTTTTTGCGAAAACATTCAGTTAGGTGTAATTGAACAATCTCTCTGGAAGGAAATATATCAAGTTCTTTGAATCTAAGGAAAATAAACTTGATCAAGGTATTAACAAATTGAGATACTACACTTAAGCACACTCCAAATCTAGCTGATGTCTTTTTCTAGTAAGCCAACTTTAAACGACAAAGCACCAGAAAAAATTCATTGCCGGCCGTCAAAGCCCTACTAGGCCCAGGTCACACTTGTGCTTGATTTCTTCTAAATCTTCTATGTTTTTCTAGTCCAAGTGAGCCGCAGTCTCCCTCCCCAGAAAGTCAAGAACCATTGAAGACACCTCATAGTTCTCAAATCCAGTGTAAAATCGTAATAATTTATCATTATCCTTTACAGTTTCGATGCTGAAGGCTTTCTTCTCGATCAATAATTCCAGCTCCATCCTGGCGCTCCTTTCCTCTTCAAGTTAATTGTATTTTTTGTTCAATTCGCGCTCCTTTAGTTTGCCATGTCTCAAGTAAACATGACATTTCGTCATCCTTTAACTTAAGTTGGTGTTCCCAGTTTTCATCTCCAGTTTGAACTAAACCTTCACTTTCTAGATGATCAGTTTCTATACCATCTGAACCAGATTTCAAATCCATGTGTTCAATGTTAATCGATTCGGAGACTGAATGCTGCTTCGATTTCTCTAATTTTGTTTTCTTTGTGTTCAACGATGCTCGATCGGTGGGCTTATTCCTCTTTGGTTTTCGACAATAAAAATTAACTCTGTCGGTATGGAATCTGGCTTCAAGCGAATTCTTTGTCCTCCCAGTGGTTTTATGAAGCAACTGGCTTCAAAATACTGACTACAGACGTAAGAGTTTTTGTTTACCGAAGTGTTCTCTCGACGCAGTTTCAGGAACCATTGTGCCAGCAAACTCCTGTTTGACAGTGGGAGCAGATGCCATGATAAGTCTTCGCACTCCACTTTGCTCAGTGGAACTTCGATTTTGACACCCAAAAGTTATGCACTGCTTCAACATGGATAACAACCCTCAAGAGTAGACAAATATTAAGGTATCTAAATGTCAAACTACTTACTACTTTCCCTCTCTATTTCCTTGTACTTTACAGCGGGCTAGACCCGATAGCCTCGTTTTGGCCTAAGCTCATCGAGAGTCCGGTGATTTCGCGTACTCAACTTCGATAAGAGCTATTCTCAACGGTTGCTCGCGTTACTTAACACCGCGTCACACAACGCGTGACGCTTTCAAGAAATAATCCTTCGCTTTTGCTCGAGACGTGAACTTGGGACACCTGTGGGTATTCGTATTGGAAAAGTTGAACCACCTTTATTCTACTCTTAAAAAATGAATAAGTCATACAATAAGGATTATTATAATGATATCAAAGATATTTTCAATCTAGTTTCTTTAGCTTGTTCATCTATGTAAAAACTGAGTAGATCTTTGGCAGTTGATTGACCCGCCTTGACTAGAAAATTTTCTAAGTGTGGGTCAACTTGTTCTCAAATTTTGTCATAAGTTTCAGAATATCATCTATTTGCGCCGTCTAGACAGACTACGAGAAGGACAATCCTGAGGAGACAGAGCGTTTGCTCCTGCTGCACCAGCCCTTCTCAATGCTTCAACAGCCAACTCTAGGGCTAAGAAGGATGAAAGCTTGATTTGATAATAGTTAATAATAATGATTAACCAATTTATATAACGCGTAATTACATATGCTGATCAATAGCGCTTTACAATTATATGCTTAAGAGAAAGCAAAAATACATTACTGTGAGAATAAAATGAACTAAGTTACAGACTAAAAAAATATTTCTCAAAAAGATAGGTTTTCAGTCGAGATTTAAAACTGTTAAGTAATGTTACTTAACGAAGCTCCATAGGTAGGCCATTCCAGAGTTTCGGAGCTGCTGCTGAGAATGATCTTACTCCCAGTGTTGTGAGCACCTTTCCCATGGGATGGTCCAATAAGAGCTTACCAGTAGACCTAAGATTGTATAATAAGCTCGATTTTATACTCATAAGATGACTAAGATAAGTTGGCGCTAGGCCATAAATACATTTAAAAGTCAAAAGTAAAATCTTATAGTCAATACGTAAAGAAACCGGTAGCCAGTGCAGCTCAAAAAGTGCCGGTAAAATAAGTAAGTAGTTTTATTTAATGTGGCACCACACTTAGCTTCAAGCTACTTTCCAGGAGGCCCACAATAAACAACAGAAACAAATAATTCAAATTGAACATAAATTGTTAAGAATCCCAACTGGCCGTACCAGTTGACTATTTACAAGCGTGGCCGAGGATTTAAACTCGGAGCTACCGCGAAACAAATCCAGGTAGTGGCCAGAGCGGGACTCGAACCCGGGAACAACGGATTACGAGTGCGACGCACTGACCACTCGGCCACGCTGCCTCCCATAAATGCAATATGAGAAAACTTTTCGATGCCAAAAATAAGTCTTGCTGCTGCATTTTGAACACGCTGTAATTTAGCGATCTGCAAATATAATAGAAATAGGTTAGCGATGGTTTCCTCCCTGAAGAAAATGTTTTATGGGAAGTGATATTTGACTACTCCACCCAGTTCAGACAAGAGGTCACGTAGTGGTTTGGGTTTCTACATACACCGTACGTTTCAGATGTATTCCCCCATGAAGCCTTCGCCTATTTGTCCTTTCTATTTCGTAGATAAAATAGTTTTGGTGCCGCAACAATCAACTTATAACAAGATAGGAATATTGAAAGATTGTCACTTACCTGAGTAATGGATTGCACCAAGAATCGAAGTACATGCAAGGAATCGACAAACGAGGACAAACTTCATGATGACTGTCTTAGTTTACCAAGAGACTATAAAAATATTGAGCCAAAATATGTTCTCCAGCTATAGTTTCAGCTTATTTCATCCTGCGTGAGATAAGAACGACTACGTAATTAAAGTTACCCATAGTTCTCTTCGCCTTTTATCGTACGACGGTTTTATCACCGAGGATTATCCCATTTTATCCATGCCTGGGTTCTGCTGTGCCGATGAATAAGCCAGGGTTAACGCAACAAAATGTGGTTGTTACACGAAATGAAGACCACGATGGTTATGAGTTAATAGGAACTGGGAGTAAAGGGCCACGGCTCAAAAGAATTGCGATTCTCGCGAAATATAATCAACTGCCTCGCTCGAAACTAGTCGTCAAGTGTTTGTTTTTTTCCCACGTGATATTTCCGTAGTTTCAAACTTTATCTCAGTTCAATAACATGAATAAGACCGTCGTTTAGGTTACAAAGAGATATATAAACTCAGTTGTTTCATATAATTGTGCAAAAGAATAAAAAAAAAAGTGAAAATCGCTTCTGAGCTATCTGCCAACATTTCGAGCGGCTGGTCTGATCGTCCGTGTGAGCGAGTAGTCCTTGGAAAAATAGTTGTAATTGAGGATTTGTGACGTTTGACAGCCTTTGCCGATGGTATCACCACAGTGGATTGAAGAATCACTATAAGTGGAGTTATTATGTCAAATCCATCGGGTGACAACCAGCTGTACTTTGCAAGCGAGAGATTTTAGTATATCAGTGAACAACTGACAACCTTGTGCCTTAAAAAGGAGGAGAAACGAGAGTATATTTGTCGAGAAAGCGAACATTTATTATATCATTGCACCATTTTAATTAAGAAAATAAAATTGAATCAAATTTTTTAAAAAACTGTAAAGA